GCTTTGCTTGTTTACTTAATCTGTAATATATAAAGGAGAATGTTTGTATGTTTGTGCGCTAATAACTCAGACACAATAAGAGCGACCGCAACCAAACTTTGCGTGGGTTAACGTTTCCTCCAGGAGAAGGTTTTGAGGGACTATGGGAGGGAAGAGATGAGACCGACGCCCTCCTTTCCCTCAGGCTCCTCACCTCAGTTATATCAACTGTCCTGAGCAACGGGGGGTAACTCCAGCTAGTTGTTTATATTTGTGGCAGGACACGCTTGGCCGGGGATTGGAATTCAACTAAAATACACAAAACGCGCATCTTAAATGAGTTATTGGCTAACAAACCCTGCGTGTAAGTGTGCTGGGTAGGAATGCAAAAAGTAATTATCGAAACAGAGTTATTAGGAAGGAAGGAAGAAGTACTGGTAGATTGTGAATTGAAGTGATCCGGTCCCTGTGTGTGTTCCAGCTGTGAGGACACATCCGATCCATGCCCCTGAGACTGAAAAATCATGTGGCGAGTGTCTGTCAGTCCCTGCCTCTGCCCTGGAGTTCCTTGTGGTCAGCACAGAGGGGACACGGAGAGGTGTGAGCTGACTCTGCCCACTTCCTTCTTACTGCACATGGCTTGATTTGGAACCTTCTGCATCCTTAACCCTTACCTGTCAGTATAAGCATGTTGTGTTCTTAGCAGTCTTTCTGTAGTTAGTGTAGATTAGCTTGTCCCTGCTCTGGACCCTGCTCAGAACAAGGATTGTGCCCAGAGTTCTGGGTTCAAGGTCTGTCTCCCCTGTCCTCACTCCATCTCGCTCCGCGGTGACCACCCACGCTATCGTCTGCCTCCCCAAGTGCAATAGCTGCTTCTCCTTTCCTCCCCGGACCTGAAAGGGACGAGCTCTGTCGGAGAGAGCACCTGGTGGACAGAGCCGTGCGACTCCCACCATGTCTGCGACCTCTAGCAGCAGCCGGAGCGGAGGCCAGAGCTAACAAAGCCAAAGATGCATAGCGGCCACGGTAGTATTGTGGCATGAATTATGGCTTCTCTCTTCAGGGTTCAAAGTTCAAACCAGCATCAAGGATTTGACCTTTGACCTTGCTGATCTCTTTATTGAAAAGACAAACCGGTTCTTGGCACTTGTTACGACTCCAGGACAGCTCCACTGCATTGGCGAAAAGTTACATTTGACAGGACAGCCAAGATCACTGGCTCTTATCCTCACCTGTGTCCCAGACCTCTGGTGGCCACCTCGTGGTCATGTTACTCCTGAGGGAATTGCGTGCCCAAAAAGACACATTCTGCATATTTTAGATTTGTCAGAATAACATCCCACCAGTTTCAATTATTTTGGTAAATTATTTCAAATTATTTCAAAATGCTTGTCAGCAGCTGTGTCTGTAACGATTCAGAGAGAGAAAAAATCCAGGAAATGTTTTGACAAATCTACCCATTACAAGGCATATTCATACAGAGCGCTGAGTAATAATTCATTTACATGACAACGCACCCCTCAGAAGCAGTGCAAAGGCTGGGGGGGAGTCGGGGGTAAAGGAGGAGCTGATGGAGGGGGAAAGAGCCTAGGTGTGAACTTGGAGGGTTGTTGGGGGGGGGTGGGAAAAATATGGACCAGATTTGCAGACCCTGGCTGACCCCTAATCTTCCCCATTCAGTCAGGCACATCTGCCCAGTCCCCAAATGTCTGTGTCCCCATGTGTCCTTGCACCCCCTGTCACCATGTTTCCTGCCAACCCCCCTCCTCATCCCCATGTGTCCCTGCACCCCCACCCCATCCCTATCTCTCAAATTATTTCAAAATGCTTGTCAGCAGCTGTGTCTGTAACGATTCAGAGAGAGAAAAAATCCAGGAAATGTTTTGACAAATCTACCCATTACAAGGCATATTCATACAGAGCGCTGAGTAATAATTCATTTACATGACAACGCACCCCTCAGAAGCAGTGCAAAGGCTGGGGGGGAGTCGGGGGTAAAGGAGGAGCTGATGGAGGGGGAAAGAGCCTAGGTGTGAACTTGGAGGGTGCACTTTCCTTATGCTGCAGTTGACTCATTTCTGCCCCCCGATCTTCCCCATTCAGTCAGGCACATCTGCCCAGTCCCCAAATGTCTGTGTCCCCATGTGTCCTTGCACCCCCTGTCACCATGTTTCCTGCCAACCCCCCTCCTCATCCCCATGTGTCCCTGCACCCCCACCCCATCCCTATCTC